GGGACCATTTATATGTTGCTAGTTGAAGAGTATGTATATTTGTATATATATGCGTGTATATGTATATACGGGTATGTGTGTATGTATCTGTATATATATAATAATTATTATTTTTAGGGACAGGGTCTCACTCTATCACCTAGGCTGGAGTACAGTGGCATAATCATGGTTCACTGCAGCCTTGAGCTCCTCCTAGGCTCAAGTGATCCTCCCACCTCAGCTTCCCAAGTAGCTGTGATTACAGGTATGTGTCACCATGCCCAGCTAATTTTTAAAATTTTTTGTAGAGATGAGGTCTTGCTATGTTGCCCAGGTTGGTCTTGAACTCCTGGCTTCATGCAATCCTCCCACCTCAGCCTCCCAAAGTGCTGGGATTACAGGTGTGAGCCACCATGACTGGCTTGAAGAGAATATTGGTGAAACATTCTTGAAAACAATTTGGCATTATTTGGAGAAGATGATGGTATTCTTTATGATGCAGTAATCCTACCACTAGTATGTAGTCCAGAGAGACTCATGCTCATATGCATAATAGTATTAGTTGTAATAGAAAAAACCTGTAAACAATGCAAATGTCCATCAATAACAGATTCCAAAGTAGATAAATACTTTGTGGCATATGCACATGATGGTGGGTGAAAGTAAATGAATTGCAGTTAGATAACCACAGAAATGAATGTAAAGAACCTAATGCCGAATAAAAAAACAAAAACTAGCTGCAAAAGAAAATTTATCATATGATTCCATTTATATAAAGCTCATGTAATGATTAATCTTATGTGTCAAACTGATGGGGCTAAGGGATGTCCAGATGGCTGGTAATCACAACTAGGAATATCTGTGAGGGTGTTTCCATAAGAGACGTGCATTGGAATCAGGAGAATGAGTAAAGAAGATTGTTCTCGCCACTGTAGGTGGGCATCATCGAATCTGTTGATGTCTCCAATAGAACAAAAAGGTGAAAGAAGGACAAATTCTTTCTCTTTTTGAGCTGGGACATCTTCTCTTGTCCTCAGACATCAACACTCCTGGGTCTCAGGACTTCAGACTCAAATTGAATCACACTACCAGTTTTTCCTGTTTCTCCAGCTTGCAGATGGCAGACTGTGGGATTTCTCAGCCTCCGTAATTATGTGAGCTAATTCCCAAAATCTCTCTTTCTCTTTTTTTTTCCCCTCACTCTCCTGTTGGTTCTGTTTCTCTGGAGAATCCTGACTAATACAGTTCAAAAACATGTGAAACTAAAAACTATATTGTTTTTTTTTTTTTTGAGATGGAGTCTTGCTCTGTCACCCAGGCTGGAGTGCAGTGGCCGGATCTCAGCTCACTGCAAGCTCCGCCTCCCGGGTTTACGCCATTCTCCTGCCTCAGCCTCCCGAGTAGCTGGGACTACAGGCGCCCGCCACCTCGCCCGGCTATTTTTTTTGTATTTTGTAGTAGAGACGGGGTTTCACCGTGTTAGCCGGGATCGTCTCTCGATCTCCTGACCTCGTGATCCGCCCGTCTCGGCCTCCCAAAGTGCTGGGATTACAGGCTTGAGCCACCGCGCCCGGCAACTATATTGTTTAAAGCAGTGCTGTATAATAGAACTCTTCACAACGGTGGAAATATTCTACAACTATGCTGTCCAGTATGGTAACAAGTGACGTGTGGCTACTGAGCACTTAAAGTATGGCTCATGTGACTGAGGAACTGAATTTTTATTTAATTTACATTTGAACTTAAATTGTCACATGTGGTGAGTGGCTACCATACTGTATGGCAAGGTTTATAATGAGAATAAGTGAAGTAAATACAAAATCCAGAATATTGGTTACTTCTGAGAGAAAAATAAAGACAGAATGAGGGAGAGATACACAGGGGATTTCAAAAGCAAAAATAATCTTCTTTTTCTTAAATGGGTATTCTACTGTTATTCTTTAAACTGAGCATATTTTTATAAATATCCTTTTATATGTATTAAATATTTAACAAAACAAATGTAGTGAATGGGGTGGTGTATACATGGATGTTTGTACTGTTATTGCTTAAATTCTGTGTAATAAAATAGTTTTATTTTAAAAATTGCTAGTACTCAGACATGCCCCAAGTGGCAGGACAAAGCCTCCCCAAAGCCCAGGCCCCAGGCCCTGGTACTAATGCCCTCATCCTCCATAACCATGGCTCTTAAGGTTTCACTTGGAAAGGAGAGGTAGGATGTTTTGTTTTGAGGCTCATTTAATTTTCTCTAAAAAATTTTAATGGGGTCAAGCCGCAGTGACTCATGCCTGTAATCCCCACACTTTGGGAGGATGAGGTAGGTTGATCATTTGACTCAGGAGTTTGAGACCTGCCTAGGCAACACAGTGAAACCCTGTCTCTACAAAAAAATACACACACACACACAAAAAGCACACACCTGTAGTCCCAGCTACTTGGGATGCTGAGGCAGGAGAATCACTTGAGCCTGGGAGGCAGAGGTTACAGTGAGCTGAGATCATGCCACTGCACTACTCCAGCCTCAGTGACAGAGTGAGACTCAAAACAAACAAACAAAAAATGTAATGGGATGAAGCTGGTTAAGCTAAGAGAGCTTCTGTGGACAAGGTCTCTTTTTCTGAGAGGAGAAATAAAGTTCTGCTTCTATTCTTAAAAATTAACAAAAACCAACAAAATTTTTAAAACACAAAGACAGGAATAAAAAGTGAAGAAGTGGGCCGCGTGCGGTGGCTCACACCTGTAATCCCAACACTTTGGGAGGCTGAGGTGGATGAATTGCTTCAGGCCGGGAGTTTGAAACCAGCCTGGGCAATGTAGACCTTGTCTCTACTAAAAGAATTAAAAAAAAAAAAAAGTTGAAGAAGTGGAAAGTAGAAACTGTAACTGTAAACAACCTCTCGGGTGAAATTTTGCTATAGAGGAAAGCAGGGGATATAAAGGCAATTGAAGATTTTTCAAAGGTGGGAAAAACCAGTTACATTATCTGTTGCTGCATAACAAATTATCCCAAAATGCAGTGGCTTAAAACAACAACTTATCTTGTACTTTCTGTGGGTCAGAACTTTTGAGTGTAGTTTAGTTGGGTGTCTCTGACTTAAGGTCTCTCATGAGGTTGCAGTGAGGGTGTCAGCTGGCACTGTGGTCTCATCTGAAGGTGTGATCAGGGGAAGATCTGCCTCTAAGCAGATCATGCGGTATTGCATGATTCAGCTCTTCGCGGCTGTTCAACTGAGGACTTCAGTTCCTCAGTGGCTCTTGCTGGCAGCCTCTCTACAGGTCCACAGGGCAGCTTACAACATGGCAGCAGCTTTACCTCAGAGCAACAGGGCTGGAGAGAGTGCTCAGGACAGAAGTCACAATCTTTTTATAACCTAATCTTGAAAGTGGTAGCCCATCATCTCTGTAACTTTCTATTTACTAGAAGTGAGTCACGAAATCCAGCCGACACTGAAGGAGAGGGAACTCACTAAGGATGTGAATACCAGGAGACAGGGTTCATTGGCGGGCATGTTGTAGGCTACCTACCACACCAGAGGATATTTGTCTGCGGATAGGAGTGATCCCAGCAAAGAGAGGAAATGACAGTGCAGGAGAGGAGAAAAGGCAGAGGAAATCCAGGAAGAAGACCTCTGCAGTTATGATCCACAGCCTTTTTCATTTTATTTAGAGAGATGGGGTCTTGCTATGTTGCCCAGGCTGGAGTGCTGTGGCTATTCACAGGCACGATCTCACTACCAATCAACACAGGAATTTTGATCAACTCTATTTCCAGTCTGGGCCAGTCACCCCTCCTTAGCCAACCTGGTAGTTCCCCACTACCGGAAGTTCACCATATTGATGCCAAACTTAGTGCATTAACCAGTTGACATAGCATACTACAGCCCAGAACTCTTGGGCTCAAGCAATCCTCCTGCCTCAGCCTCCTGAGTAAATGGGACTACAGGCATGTGCCACTGTGCCCAGCCCACTGCCTGTGTCACTGCTATTTTATGACTTGGCTGCATATACTTGCTTTATAAGTCTGTTGAACCTCTATTATCTGTCATAGCAAGACCCATCATCCCTATCATGTTGGCTATGGGTTTAAAAAAAGAAAAAAAAGTCATCTTGCCCTGTTTACAAAGGCATACACAATCTGACCACATCTCACACACACAAATACACACACCCCAACTGTGTTTCTCCCCCTTTCTAATAACACCTTCTACTAAAATACCTGGGGAACAAGGACTTTGTTTCTTGTCAGCCCACAGAGATCAGCTCATGCTGCAATTTGTTTCTCCAATATCACCTCCTCCACCCCCTGATTTCGGCACAGCTCTGAGCCTCTGCTCCCTTCCCCACATGTTACCATGTGTGAGCCCCAAACTAATATGCTCCTTTTATCTAATGCTGCCAACGGCACCAGCCTCGGAAGGATGGTATGAGCAAGGCAATTGTCCTTTTATTGACCTCTAACTCTCCACCACCTCACCAACTTCCCACACGGTCTTCTTATTACTGAAGGTGTTGGGTTAACAAAGGCAAAGTTCAGTATAGGTCAAGATAAGAAAGAGAACAATTTACAACTGAACATTAGACATCATTCTTAAAAACTTCGGGTTATGTTAAAGAAAAATTATTCAGTGATACTCATTAAAGCACAGGAAAACAGACTTTATCAGGACCATCCAGATAGGGATAGGGACCATGGCAATGGGATTTTGTAGTGGGTAGAGGGACTGGGCTAAAATCCAAACAGAGCAGGGGCAAGAGAGAATTTACAGCCAATGAGCAGGATAGAGGGGTCAGTGGATGGAAAATTACTAAGAGGGAGCATCAGGAGTAATGGGATTCCGGTTAACCGACCTAACAGGATTCTTGCTGGACAGGCCAGGGTGATCAGACATCACCTGGGGGATAGCGGTGGATGAGGAAGCCGATCAGACCTTGAGAGTGAGGGGTTCTTTCTAAACGGACCTACTCCTCGTCTTCCGACACCCCCCGGCCGCACTCGCGCCTCCCGGCCAGGTCGCGCGCCCCGCGTGCCCGGGGCGGGTGGGAAGAACCTGCCGCCATCTTGCTCACCAACCTCCAAAATGCGGCTGCGGCTCCTGAGCGTGGCGCTGTTGTTTGTGGGGAGCTCTCACTTACACTCAGACCACAACTCGCCCCCCGGAAGGCACAGCCTTGGCCCCTCGCTGGAACGGGCCGCTGGTTCCCAGCAGACGGAGGCCGCCCGCAAGAGGCTCGGGCGGCGGAGACAGGGAGGGGCGCATGCAAAGGGCAGTACCTGTTCGCGCTTGTCTCTGGGGGGCCTCTCTTACCTTTTCCCCACGGGTATAGTCTTTGAATTCGGGTTTCTCCTTTTCTGGTGTTCCAATGGCCTTTAACCAAAATTTTACATACCCAAGCAGTTTCTCAACAGGTTATAATAACAGTAGTTGTAATAGTAAAATGACACTTTGTATTGTGAATCTGTATTTTCTCCTCAAAACATTCTGGGTTTTATCATCCTCATTTTATATATGAATAAGTCAGGGGATAAAGAGTTGAAAGGGAGTGCTATTAGGTGAGAAAAATTAGCCCAACAAGTGAAATGGTGAGCATGAGAATTTGCAGCTCTCGACTCACCGTGTCCAGGCTCTTTAACTGCTGTTTCACACAGGGAAGAAGGTGATACGTGGCCCAAAAATGTTATTTTTATATTTTTGGGGAATGGAGTTTTAAAATTAATGAATTGTGTTGACTTCATGTCTATTTGTAAGTAATCGATTATGGCATATTTGTCTTAACTGTCCAAGTTTCTTTCAAAATATGGGCATGTCTCAGGTATGTTAGCTTGCTTTATGTTTAACATAGGAATTTAAAGGATTTCATTAATACGTTCAGCTTAGGAAGTAACACATAATAGATGCTCAGTCCAAATAATATACCATTTTTATTTCTAGATTGTGGAACAGCACCGCTTAAGGATGTGTTGCAAGGGTCTCGGATTATAGGGGGCACAGAAGCTCAAGCTGGTGCATGGCCATGGGTGGTGAGCCTGCAGATTAAATATGATCATACTCTTGCTCATATATGTGGGGGAACCCTAGTGAGAGAGAGGTGGGTCCTCACAGCTGCCCACTGCACTAAAGACGCTAGGTATGTATTCAGAACACAACTATTTTATTTTCTTACGGGATATTTTGAAGTGATAGAGGACCATTTAACTTCACCCATTTTCAGTTAAGCTATGTTTGCAAATAGCCATAATGCCTTATGCATAGTACAGTGTGTTTGTTGAAAGGAATCCTTTATTATTATTTTTATTATTATTATACTTCAAGTTCTGGGGTACATGTGCAGAACGTGCAGATTTGTTACATAGAAGTATACATGTGCCATGGTGGTTTGCTGCACGCATCAACCCATCATCTACCTACATTAGATAGATATTTCTCTTAATGCTATCCCTCCCCTAGCCCTGCACCCAGGAATCCTTTATTATTTATTTATTTATTTATTTATTTATTTTGAGATGGAGTGTCGCTCTGTCACCCAGGCTGGAGTGCAGTGGTGCAATCTTGGCTCACTGCAACCTCTGCCTCCTGGGTTCATGCGATTCTTCTGCCTCAGCCTCCCGAGTAGCTGCAATTACAGGTGCCTGCCACCATGTCTGGGTAATTTTTGTATTTTTAGTAGAGATGGGGGTTTCACCATGTTGGCCAGGCTGGTCTTGAACTCTTAACCTCACGTGATCTGCCCGCCTCAGCCTCCCAAAGTTCTGGGATTACAGGTGTAAGCCACCATGCCCGATCATGGATCCTTTAAATTAGAGGCTGGTAAACTTTCCATAAAGGTAGTCAATATTTTATGCTTTGAAGGTCATATGGTCTCTCTCACAATTGCATGAAAACCAGCACTGACAATAAGTAATTGAATGAGCGTGGCTATAATCCAGTAAAACTTTATGAACACTGAAATCTGAATTTCATATAAGTTTAACCTGTCATGAAATATTTTGGTTGATTCAGCCATTTAAAAATGTAGAGTAGGGCACGGTGGCTCACATCTGTTATCCCAATGCTTTGGGAAGCCAAGACGGGAGGATCACTTAAGGCCACGAGTTTGAGACCAGCCTGGGCAATATAGTGAGACCCTGTCCCTATATTTAAAATGTTTTTTAATGTAAAAAACATGCTTTATGGACTGTATGAAAATAAGAGACATGCCAGATTTGGCCTTTACTATTAGACTCTTTGAAAAAGAGACTCTCTTTTGCTTCACCTCCATTGACCCATAAAATCCATTTGCAGTCTGATTTTTGTGGCCAAATGCTATTAAAGATCCACCTCCATGCCAAATCCAATGACTTCATCTCAGTTCCCATCCTTTTTGACCTCTACAGCCTTTGGCAATGTTGACCACATCCTCTTCTTGAAATTATCTCTTTTCTTGATTTATAAGACACCACTCTACTTTTTTCTCCTGCTTCTTTGATGAGTCTTTGTCATCCTTTACATTGCAGTGTTTTCTAGAGTTTGCCCTCTGGCCTCTATCATTCTGTACTCTTTCCTAGAGATATCTAATCTACCTGTTTCAGCAATCACCATATGCTGTCAACTCCTAGGTCTCTCCTGATGAGTCATATTTCCAGCTCCCTACCATGCATATATATTGGAGTCACATTCTAAATAAATCCAAAATAGAATTTACTTTCCTCTGATACTATTTCTTCTCTATTTTCTCAGTCAATAGCATCATCAACAGCTCCATTACCCAGAGAGTTATCTAATTTCTCCCACTTCACCTCTCCAAGTAGTCCCCAAGGCCTATGAAGGCTCTCTGTGCAGTATCTTGAATTTGCTGCTTCTGTCCCTCAGCCCTCCCTACTGATTAAAAGTAGATCCAGAATATCAGGCTCCATATTCCTAGCTTATGACTTATCATACTTATATTTACACTACTACTATGATAACTATCCTAATTAATATGAAATGGTAGCTCATTGTGGCTTTTATTTCCATTTCCCAAATTACTAGTGATGTTAAGCATCTTTCTATGTGCTTATTGGCCATTTGTATATCTTCTTTGGAGAAATGTCTATTCAAGTCCTTTGTCCATTTTTGAACTGGGCTTTTTTTGTTGTTGAGTTGTAGGAGTTCTTTATGTATTCTGGATATTAATCTGTTGTCAGACACATTACTTGCAAATATTTTCTCCCATTCTGTGGGTCATCTTTTCACTCTCTTGATAGTGTCCTTTGATACACAAAAGCTTTTCATTTTGATGAAGTCAGATTTATCTATTTTTTCTCTTTTGTTGCCTGTGTTTCTGGTGTAATATGTAAGAAATCATTATATCAAATCCAGTATCACGAAGCTTTTCCCCTATGTTTTCTTCTAAGAGTTTTATAGCTTTAGCTCTTATATTTAGGTCTTTGATCCATTTTGAGTCACTTTTTGCATAAGGTATCAGGTAAGGGTACAATTTCATTGTTTTACATGTGGCTATCAAGTTTTCCCAGCACCATCTGTTGAAAAGTTTGTCCTTTCCCCATTGGATGGTATTGGCACCTTCATTGAAAATCAATTGATCATATATGAGAGGGTGGGTTTCTGGGCTCTCAATTCTTCTCCACTGATCTGTCCTTATGCTAGTATCACACACAGTTCGGATTAGTATGGCTCTGTAGTAAGTATTTTTTGTTGGTGGTGTTTTTGTTTGTTTTGTTTTTTAGACAGAGTCTTGCTTTGTCACCCAGGCTGGCATGATCTCAGCTCACTGCAAACTCTATCTCCCAGGCTCAGGTGATCCTCCCACCTTAACCTCCTGAATAACTGGGACGACAGGTGTGCACCACCATGTCTGACTAATTTTTGTATTTTTTTGTAGAGACGGGGTTTCACTATGTTGCCCAGGCTAGTCTGAAACTCCTGGGCTCAAGTGATCTGCCCAGTTTGGCCTCCCAAAGTGGTGGGATTGCAGGTGTGAGCAACTGCATCCGGCCTGCACTAAGTTTTGAAATCAGGAAGTGTGAGTCCTCCAACTATATTCTTCTTTTTCAAGATTATTTTAGCTATTTGGAGTCTCTTAATATTCCATATGAATTTTAGGATGGGTTTTTCTATTTCTGAAAAAAAAGTCATTGGGATTTTGATAGGCATTGCATTCAGTCTAAAAACTCTAAAAACTCTTTAGAAAGTTTACAGTCTACAAAGCAATATGGGGAAATCCACATTTTCCCATATTGGGGAAAAGATTGCTTTGGGTGGTTCTGTCATCCCTTTTTTTTTTTTTTTGAGAGGGGGTTTTGCTCTTGTTGCCTAGGCTGGAGGGCAACAAGAAGACATAAATAAATAAATGAAAATACATCCTGTGCTCATGGATTGGAGAACACTATTATTAAGACGACAGAACCTGCTGGGTGTGGTGGCTCACACCTGTAATCCCAGCACTTTGGGAGGCGGAGGCAGGTGGATCACAAGGTCAGGAGTTGGAGACCAGCCTGGCCAACATGGTGAAACCCCGCCTCTACTACAAATACAAGATATTAACCAGGCGTGGTGGTGGGCGCCTGTGATCCCAGCTACTTGGGAGGCTGAGGCAGGATGATCACTTGAACCCGGGAGGCGGAGGTTGCAGTGAGATGGGATCGTGCCACTGAACTCCAGCCTGGGTGACAGAGTGAGACTCCATCTCAAAAAAAAAAAAAAAAAAGAATATTCTTCAACTAGATCAGCATGAAGGGGATGCTTAGGTCTGAGTTCTTTCACCAGTAATATGAGGTACTGGACTACTTGGCCAAGTTTAGTTATTAGTGTCCAGTTTTTCGCACTAGTTACTGGAAGACAGGCTTGTCCTTTTTCATCAAGTTTATGGTGATAACTTTTTAAGTATTTTTTGCAGGTTTGGAAACTCTATTGGAAAGTTGATTTCTATTTTGAAGGCCCCTTGATCAAATAAAAGGTTGTCAGGAAAAAAGAAAAAAAAAAAAAAGCCTTGCTAAGTCAATGAGTGAGCTTTATCATATTGGATGCTTGTTATTATAAAATACTTCATTCCACATTGGTAGATATCTTCAAGCTCCCTCGTCAACTTCCTGTTGGCCACTGTGTTGGATTTGCCTTCCCCACTTCCCACCCAGAAATCAGTTTAGTCTCTAAGAACCAGTCATGGTCTCGGCTCCTTTTCAAAGCACTGGATTCTGATATGCAGCCAGATTCATCATATGAGGAATGATATTGGCGGTGGAGCTGTTTATAGCTAGGTGTCTCTGAAGGCATTGTTTTTGTCGTCGTTGTTTTGTTTTTTGTTTGCCCTTTTTTCCCTTTCACTGAATGGCTTCCTTATAACACGAACTTATACATGATACGTTATGGTCCTTCATTCTATCTCATAATCTTTCAGCTTCAGCCCCTATTGCTAACGGGCCTTCTCATCAATTTTCATGATGAATTATCTGATTATCCCAGCCCAGCTTTTCAATCTAGGTGATACCACCGTTGCTCAATTTATGAATAAACCTTTATTAGTGACCTATCTCTTTCCCAGAGAGCTGTGGTCAGGGGACCTGGGTCATATATTAAATGAGAGCACCTTGACAACAGAGTGCGCAGGGCACTCATCCTTGCACAGGATATAGATATGGGTATATAAGCACCAGCGGGTATTTCTTCTTGTTTGTTTGAGACAGGGTCTTGCTCTGTCACCTAGGCTGGAGTGCAATAGCACAATCTTGGCTCACTGCAGCATCAATCTCCCAGGATAAATTAGTTCTCCCACCTCAGCCTCTCAAGTAGCTGGGACTACAGGCGGGTGCTATCATGCCTAATTTTTGTATTTTGTAGAGATGGGGTTTTGCTATATTGCCCAGGCTTGTCTCTAACTCCTAAGCTCAAGCTATTTTCCTACCTCAGCCTTCCAAAGGGCTGAGATTACAGGCATGAGACACTGCATCCAGCCACCAATGGATATTTCTAGAAAAGGGAAAGAGGATATTGTTTGAATTATCTCTATGTAACTGGAACTGAGAAAGAATATGTTGTGGTCCAGCAGCACTGATATGTATTAAAACTTAGAGGCTTTTTCGTACAGCCAGTCCTAACTCACATTAGTAGAAATAACCTTTTGGATCTATTTTTCTTTTCTCAGTTTTCTCA